GAAGCGGTGTTGTGAGGCGGTGTTGTGAGGCGGTGTTGTGAGGTGGTGTTGTGAGGCGGTGTTGTGTGGTGGTGTTGTGAGGTGGTGTTGTGAGGTGGTGTTGTGGTGTTGTGGTGGTGCTAAGGTGTTGTGGTGGTGTTGTGGTGTTATGGGGGTGGTGTTGTGTGTGGTGTTGTGGTGTTATGGTGGTGTTGTTGTGTGGTGGTGTTGTGGTGTTGTGAGGCGGTGTTGTGAGGCGGTGTTGTGAGCGGTGTTGTGAGGCGGTGTTGTGAGGCGGTGTTGTGGAGGCGGTGTTGTGAGGGCGGTGTGTGGTGGTGTTGTGGTGTTGTGGAGGCGGTGTTGTGGTGTTATGGTGGTGTTGTGTGGGTGTTGTGGTGGTGCTAAGGTGTTGTGAGGGTGTTGTGGTGTTATGGTGGTGTTGTGTGGTGTGGTGTTATGAGGGTGGTGTTGTGGTGTTGTGTGGTGGTGTTGTGGTGTTGTGAGGCGGTGTTGTGAGGCGGTGTTGTGAGGCGGTGTTGTGAGGGCGGTGTTGTGAGGCGGTGTTGTGAGGCGGTGTTGTGAGGCGGTGTTGTGGACTGTTGTGAGGCAGTGTTGTGGTGTTGTGTGGTGGTGTGGTGTTGTGAGGTGGTGTTGTGAGGCGTTGTTGTGGTGTTGTGTGTGGTGTTATGGTGTTGTGGTGTGGTGTTGTGTGGTGGTGTTGTGGTGTTGTGTGGGTGGTGTTGTGGAGGAGGCGGTGTTGTGAGGCGGTGTTGTGGTGTGTGGTGGTGTTGTGGTGTGAGGTGGTGTTGTGAGGCGGTGTTGTGGTGTTGTGTGGTGGTGTTATGGTGTTGTGTTGTGGCGTTGTGGTGGTGTTGTGGTGTTGTGTGGTGGTGTTGTGTGGGAGGCGGTGTTGTGAGGCGGTGTTGTGGTGTTGTGTGGTGGTGTTGTGATGTTGTGAGGGTGGTGTTGTGAGGCGGTGTGTTGTGTGGTGTTGTGTGGTGGTGTGGGTGTTGTGGTGTTGTGTTGTGGCGTTGTGGTGTTGTGCTGTGGCGTTGTGGTGTTGTGGTGTTGTGGTGGTGCTAAGGTGTTGTGAGGGTGGTGTTGTGGTGGTGCTATGGTGTTGTGGAGGTGGTGTTGTGGTGTCGTGTGTGGTGGTGTTGTGGAGGCGGTGTTGTGGTGTTGTGTGGTGGTGTTGTGGTGTTGTGTGGTGGTGTTGTGGTGTTGTGGTGTGGCGTTGTGGTGTTGTGCTGTGGCGTTGTGGTGTTGTGGTGTTGTGGTGGTGCTAGGTGTTGTGGGAGGTGGTGTTGTGTGGTGTTGTGGTGTTATGAGGTGGTGTTGTGGTGTTATGAGATGGTGTTGTGGTGTCGTGGTGTTATGAGGTGGTGTTGTGGCGTTGTGGCGCTGTGAAGGTTCGTCAGTGTGTCAGGAGTCATTCATTCACTCATTCAGTCAGTCAGTCATCCATTCATTCACTCATTCAGTCAGTCAGTCATCCATTCAGTCAGCCAGTCAGTCAGTCAGTCACACGCAGGTGTTGATGGAGGTGACTAACTCAGCTTACAAGCACACAGGTAAATTAAACCATGTCAAGGTGAGCTGATGACCAGGTGAGACCAGGTGTAACACAGTGCTCCTACCTGCCCTCATCATGGGTAACACGGGGTGCCCTTGTTGTAATTATCTCTCTGTCTCTCTACCTGTCTCTGTCTCTCTTAGGGGGGGGAGAGAGAGAGACGGAAAATGTTGCATCAGTCTCGCCAGCTTATGAGACACAGCGAGATATCTCCCAACAACACAAGAGGAAGGTTAGAGAGAGATAATGAGACACATTATATAATAAGTCTCCCCATTACTGTGTGTGTGTGTGTGTGTGTGTGTGTGTGTGTGTGTGTGTGTGTGTGTGTGTGTGTGTGTGTGTGTGTGTGAAGAGATTTACTAAAACCTGGGCCTAAAACCTAACCTAACCTAATCTAACCCAACCTAACCTAACCTAACTAATCCGCTGGTTTATTACGAAAATTAGCGCTGGGTTTCAGACTTTGGGAACAGTGAAGAATGTAAACAAACGATTCAGTAGTGTAAGCGACCTACAGGTGGACGCTTCCTCACTTTCTTTTGTTGTTGTTGTTGTTGTTGTTGTTGTTGTTGTTGTGGTGGTGTTCAGATGTTATAAATTCATGGAGATTCCTACGTTATATTTGTTCGTCTTAAAATGTACTTGATTTACAGTCTAAGGGTAAATTTATCGCCATTTTTTATACATACACATACACATACATACATACATACATACATACACACATACATACATACTCTACATACATACTCTCCCTTTCTCTTCTTTTCCCTCTGTCTCACCTCCCATTCGTCTTCTACATTACCCTTTCCACCTCTCTTCCATTCCTTACTCCCTCTCTCCCTCTCATTCCTCACTCTCTCTCTTCCATTTATATTTCACCCAACTTAACTTCTCATTTTATCTTCATCACCAGGATTATGGCTCTTCTTATCTCTTAAATTATCACGAATTCTTCTTTGTCTCCTTGTTACTTTCACTTGTCTCTCCCTGTTTCTGTACGTTCCACCTTCATCGATTTAACTCTCTCTTCCTCCTTCCTTCCTCCTTCATTCCTCTCTCCTTATCTCTTCCTATCTCCTCTCGCCTCTTTTTCTCTGTCTGTCTTCTCTCAAAATTCACCTCGTCTCCTCATTCGTTTCATCTTCATTCCTTCTTTCACCTTCTTCCAATCCTTTCTCCACTCCTTCTTTCTTCTTTCTTCCATTCCTTCCACTCCTTTTTCCACCTTCTGTTCCCATTTCATTTCCGGTGAGAATCTTGATCCCGAGACAAAAGAGTATGTGTGTGTGTGTGTGGTGTGTGTGTGTGTGTGTGTGGAAAAACGTAAGGAAAGAAAGAGAGAGAGAGGAGAGAGAGAGAGAGAGAGAGAGAGAGAGAGAGAGAGAGAGAGAGAGAGAGTATATATATGTGTTTATGTACAGTATGTATTCGTATATATGTATTAGTGTATACATTATATAAGTGTGTAGTTATGTGTATGAGGGTGTGATGAGTATATGTGTATAGGTGTATTGACACGGCCTTATCTGCATTACAAGAAGACACAGTTGGAGGCAGAATGGGGAAATGGACCTATTTCCTATGATTGTGCCTCATCGTCCTCTCTCCCTCACCCATTTTCTCTCACTTTCACCCATTTTCTCTCACTCCACCCATTTTCTCATTTTCATCCATTTCTCCTCACTTTCTACATTTCTACTTTCACCCATTTTCTCACTTTCACCCATTTTCCTCACTTCACCCATTCTCTCACTTCCACCCATTTCCTCCACTCACCCATTTCTCCTCACTTCCATCCATTTCTCCCCACTCCACCCATTTCTCTCACTTTCACTTAACCTCACTTCTAACCCACCATTTATCTAACTTAACCTAACCTATCATAATTTAACCTAACCTACCCCTAACCTAACCTAACCAAACCAATATGAACAAACAACTGTGCACCCACGTAAACACTGCATTCGAGCATTGTTTACACTCCCCTCGTAAACAAAGGTCGACCTGTTGTTTAAATTAAATATAAACAGCAGACAACTACACACACACACACACCGAGAGATTCATTTTACACTTGGGGTCACTTGAACAATCCAGCGTTAACAGGCCGGCCGGAACACTGTATGTATGTATGTATGTATGTATGTATGTATGTATGTATGTATGTATTCTGTCCCTCAACACACACACACATATATACACCCCCTTCCCTCCCTCCCCACAACCTCCTTTCACACCCCCCCCACTAGACCTCACCCCTTGTAATGAGAAGTTCTGTAGGGTAGGGTGGTTAATGGCCGTCCCTGCAAGACGGAGATATTTAATCACTTGACCTTGTTACGAGAGTCATGTGTAGAGTATCATGTGGTTTAGAGAGTTTGACCTTTAATGATGATAATAATAATAATAATAATAATAATAATAATAATAATAATAATAATAATAATAATAATAATAATAACAATAATATCACCAACAACAACAACAACAACACATTATCTCGTCGTCTCCAAATACTTCCATTATCTCTCACCTTCACTGTCTCATCAATATTAAGTGCCTCAAAACTCTCACTCTCGGAAGTACTTGGATACATCATCTTACACGTGAATGAATTAAACACTTCTTCACTTGGCCACTAGAGGGCTGACCAAGATCATACCCGGGACTATATTTGGATTGGGGTGTGGGTGAGTTGGGTTGAGGAGTTGAGGTTTGAGGTGTTGGTTGTGAATTGAGTTTGGGTTGGGGGTTGAGGTTGTGGGTGTAGGTGGGTTGAGGTTGAGTTTGTGATAGTTGGTGAGGTTGATGTGTTGAGGTGTTGGGTTGGGGTTGGATGGGGTTGGGTGAGGTTTGGGTTGGTAGGGTGGTTGAGGTGTGGGTGGGTTGGGTTGTGGGTTGAGGTAAACACAGACCAAACCAGATCAAATTATCACACATGTCCGTCTCGTGAGTCGGCAGTAACACAAGCTGAGGAGGGCAGAGAACGACCAGCTGACCTCCTAGTACTCCCCACCCTCCCCACCACTACCCCCTCCCCCAGCCACCACAGCTGTAACACCTTCATCAATATTCGTTGGGGGAGGCAGTAATCCTCGTGGTCGATTTACCCATAATTCACCAGTGGACAAGGAGCCCCCCCAGCTGGTATATTTTTGAACAAGTAATCAATGGTCATGAGGAGGGAGAAGGAGGTGAGGAGGTGAGGGAGGTGACGTGAGGAGAGGTGAGGTGAGGTGAGGTGAGGAGGAAGGTGGCACTAAGATGACCTAATTGACCAGTTGTGGCACCTAATTTATAAACAAGGTGTGAGAACGTATCTAATTGGGTCACTTAATTAACCTACGACACAAAGACGGACTCCCAAAGGCTCCTCCATTAATAATAATAATAATAATAATAATAACAATAATAACTTAGATATACCTATTAATATTCTTACCTGTACCTCGTAGACGGTAATTGATCGACACCTGACCACCTCTTACCTGTAATTAAGGAAAGGAGAATTCAGAAACACACCTGGATGAGTATTTGTAATTTTTCTCATAAATGTTGTTAAATTTTACACTTTATGTCTGTCTGTGTGTAGTGATAATATACAAGACACTTACGACATGTGTGGAGTGTCTTCTGGCCCTCCACACTTACACACCTACAACAGCCCCACACCTACAACAGCCACACACCTACAACAGCCACACCATTAAGCCACATCACTGCCTCCTCCTCCTCCTCCTCCTCCACCCACACCTGAACCAAACTTCCCCGCCGTAATAAGATTTCCCGACCATTATATTCAACTCAGGTAACAAGAACGACCACTTGGCCTAATTAAGTTCACCTGGAGTATACCTGGGCTTCCTCTAACCCTCCTAATAATGGCGTCTTAAATATTCTGAGACTGTATGAAACTTCAGAGCCTTGAATTCTGCGGGTGAGGGGGGGGGGTGTGGCTACGAGACAGACAGACAGACAGACAGACAGAGAATAGGCAAAATCGGACAACTCGCTAACTGCACTGGCTAGATATATATAAAAAATCACCCCTAAGTACGTAGAAGTGAGTGATAAGCGGATTATATCTATCTCAAGACGGGAATCGAACCCAGGGCTTGTTGTTTGGGAGTCGAGTGTGTTGCCAGAGTGCCATTTGTATCCAGAGAGTGAGGGAGGATTAATGGCCTAGCGGAAGGGTAGTTGGTGCAGTAATGTAAGCTCCTGAGTGGTGATTTGTAGCTGTTTGGAGGGGGAAGGGGAGGGGGAAGGGGAGGGGGTGAGGGAGGGGGTGAGTTATGAATCCCACTTCCCCCACCTCCTCTTCTTACCCCTTAGTCCATTAACCATTACCCCCTACCTCTGTTTGTAGGTGTTAGGGGGGGAGAGGGGGTGGAGGGGAGTTTTGAGCCCCACTTCCCCCCCCCCTCCCCTCCTTATCCCCTTACCACTACCCCCTCCACTATGCCACTACCATTACCTCCCCAACCACTACCCCCCCACTACCACTCACCAGACCCATTGCTCAGTTGACCTTTCAAGGGATACAACTTGGCCATTAAATTAACAAAGCCTCTATAATCTATTTGGCTCTATAACTCTCTATCTATAACTCTCTAACTGTATCTATAACTCTGAATAGGACTCTTATCTATCGCTCTGTAGGATTGAAGGACTGGAAGGACTCTTTCAATAGGGATCCTACCAGTAATTTATCCTTATCTCTGACAAGTTAATTAAGTCAACTAATTTTCCTATTAGGAGAGAGAGAGAGAGAGAGAGAGAGAGAGAGAGAGAGACTTGTACCCCAGACCGAACCCGATATACACACACACACACCTGTAACACTGTAATACACTGTATCCAGGTGTATGTATGTATGGTCGACCTGTGGTGGAATGGTCAGCATCCTCGCCTCGCGAGTGAGCGGACTCGGGTTCGATCCCCGGGCAGGGTGAAACTATGGTCAAGTTTCTTTACGCCATTTGCCTCTGTCTACCCAGCAGTAATTGGGGACCTGGATCTTAATCGATGTGCGGATCGTGTTCCGGGGTAATGGTTAGCCAGTGCAGTTGGAGAGTTGTCCGGTCTTCTCGGACTATTCCTTAACACTGGGTAATGCAACTCGTTAACTCAGGGTGTGGTTGTTGTGTTGGCGACAGCTTCTACACCTTAAACAAATTCACGCCTCGGTGGTCCTTGGGCCGGCCATCCTCGTTACACGAGGGGCCTCCGGTATGTATGTATGTACGTATGTATGTATGTATGTATGTACAGGAATCTTACACAATGTCAATAAATTCTCATCTGAACCAAAGATAAAAATATATATTAAAAAAATCTGGGAACATCTGTTTAGTTATTAAAATGTGGACGTCATCAAGTAATTAATTCCAGCGATGAGGGAAAAAATAATTGAAAAAAAAAATCCCCAAAACTGAGAATTTAAATACAAAAAAATAAGAGCTAAGGATTTTTTTCCTTGGGGGGGAGGGACTTATTGTGTGTGTGTGTGTGTGTGTGTGTGTGTGTGTGTGTGTGTGTGTGTGTGTGTGTGTGTTTGTCTGTCTGTCTGTCTGTCTTGGTCTCAGTCAACGTAGGTACCCACACTCCCCCTTGTCCCATGCTTACACTCTCAGCCAATCACAGTGTCAACTAGAGGGGGATTAGGAGGGGATTGGGGAGGCTTCCGTAATGACCGTGGTGATTAGTGGGAGTCTTCGAGGGATTAGTGGATGAGTTGAAGGATTAGAGAATGATTAGTGGTGGTGGTGGTGGTGGTGGTGGTGGTGGTGGTGGTGGTGGGGGTGGGGGTGGGGTGGGGGGGTGGGTGGTGTTCAGTAGTTATTTCTCCTCCTCCTCCTCCTCCTCCTCCTCCTCCTCCTCTCCTCCTCCTCCTCCTCTCCTCTCCTCTTTCTCCCTACTTCTCTCCTCCCTCCCCCAGGTGACAGGTCTCTCCCATCACCCTGGCGAGACACTGTGACACCATGACCATCTCCTACACAGCCTCTCAATACTCCCCTGAGAGATAGATGGAGCAGACAGTCTCTAAGAGTCTTCCTATTTGTCTCTCTGTCTCTCTCTCTCTCTGTCTGTCTGTCTGTCTGTCTGTCTCTTTAAGGCTTTTTCTCAGTCTCTCACATTGTTTTTATCAGTCTTTTTTCTCTCTCTATGTCTTATACAGAGAGAGAGACTTCATTACCACCACAATAGAACACTAAATACCTACCCCCTCCCCCACACACACATTCCCTCCCTTCCATAATCCTTTACGACACAAGAACGCTCGAAAAATCTCACTTCCTCCTCCTTACCCCCTCCCTCACCCCACCCTCCCTCCCTCACCCCTCCCTCACCTCTCCCTCCCTCCCTCTCTCCCTCACACGATATCACCTACAATAATATGATTTTTTCTAAACATTTCATTATGGAAAAACTCTCTCTCTCTCTCTCTCTCTCTCTCTCTCTCTCTCTCTCTCTCCTCGTTCTTTCATCTCCCTCACTGCTTTACGCCTCATTTACTCCCTCTTGTGCATCCTCTCCTTCCTCTTCCATTTCTTCTTTTTCTTCTTCGTAATAAATTTTCCTCCTCCTCCTCTTCCTTCCTTTCTTCTCCTTGTATCTTTCCTCCCTCCTCCTCTTCTTCTTCCCATCCTTCCCTCTCTTCCATCTCTCCCTTCAACCACCTTCCTCCCTTTTTCCTATCTCTTCTACCTCCTCCTCCTCCCCCCTCCTCCTCCTTCTTCCTTTCTTCTTCTCATCCTATTCTTCCTTCCTCCACCTCTCTCCAATCTCTTTCTCCTCTTCCTTCTTCTTCTTCTTCTCCTCCCTCTTCCTCCTTCTCTTCAAATTTCCATCTTATCTCTTCCATCTTTTCACATTATTAACTACTATAGCTTAAATGATCAACGCTACATTATCAAAGCTAAAGGGTCAACGCTAAATGGTCAACGCTAAATGGTCAACGCTAAATGGTCAACGCTACATTATCAAAGCTAAAGGGTCAACGCTAAATGGTCAACGCTAAATGGTCAACGCTCAATGGTCAACGCTAAATGATCAACGCTAAATGGTCAACGCTAAATGATCAACGCTAAATGGTCAACGCTAAATGATCAACGCTAAATGATCAACGCTAAATGGTCAACGCTACATTATCAAAGCTAAAGGGTCAACGCTAAATGGTCAACGCTCAATGGTCGCGTTAAATGATCAACGTTAAATGATCAACGCTAAATGGTCAACGCTAAATGGTCAACGCTAAATGGTCTTCAGTTTCCTTTGTTCGAATTACGTGTCAAAAATACGTGAGTTATTTTTCCGTCACATTTTGCCTCACGTGTGTGTGTGTGTGTGTGTGTGTGTGTGTGTGTGTGTGTGTGTGTGTGTGCGTGTGTGTGTGTGTGTGCGTATGGGTGTATCTGTGTGTGTGTGTACGTATCCCTCTCTCTCTCTCTCTCTCTCTCTCTCTCAATAAATGCACAAATTATCGTAATGAAATCTCCACAGACAGACAGACAGACAGACAGACAGAGAGACAGACAGACAGAGAGACAGACAGACAGAGAGACAGAGAGACAAAATACTCTCATTATTCCCCTCATCACCTCAAGACAGCAGTGGTGGGGGCTCAAACATATCAACTCCCTCTATCTGTAACACCACTTCTAAAATCCATAGTTTAGAATTTGAAATAGATGGAACAATAGACATCAAAGGGGGTCAGAGGTCAAAGAAGGTCAGATTAGGTCACAAAGAGTCCAGGTAATCAGGTTAGGTTAGGTCAGCCCGAAACAACAGAGATTTAGAAAAAAAAATATTGATATGTTTATTTTAAAGTTTACGGTGTGTGTGTGTGTGTGTGTGTGTGTGTGTGTGTGTGTGTGTGTGTGTGTGTGTGTGTGTGTGTGTGTGTGTTGCAACAGTCTATTTACACGTGGACTTCCATAGACAAAACAATACCACACTAGTCGGGAATCGGACCGTGTATGTATGTATGTATGTATGTATGTATGTATGTATGTATGTATGTATGTATGTATGTATGTATGTATGTATGTATGTATGTATGTATGTATGTATGTATGTATGTATGTATGTATGTATGTATGTATGTATGTATGTGAGATTTTCCAGTCTAAAAAAAATTAATCTTTTCCGTCAGTAAGTAAGATGATTAACGACAAATCCTACGACATATCCTACGAGAGAACATACGAAATCCTACGAGAAATCCTACGAGAATTCATTTAGCGCTAATTGAGTGTGGCAAGATAATATAGAACACCTGTCTATGCTAATTATTTTACCTGCTAATTAATTATCAAGGTAGGAGAGAGAGAGAGAGAGAGAGACAGAGAGAGAGAGAGAGAGAGAGAGTCGCCAGGCCCAACTATTTATCATAATAAAACTATCACTCTCTTGTTGTGTTCTGTGTCCTGTCTTTATTGTAATTACTCTCTCTCTCTCTCTCTCTCTCTCTCTCTCTC